CCTGGCAGGGTAGATGGTTTTTAATTTATTTTTTGTGTGCAAACACTCAAAAATCTCTTTCCTCCATTAAAAGAAAAAAGAAACAATTAAAGATGGAAATGGCACAGCCTCTCTGACCAACCTGCACCATCTTCTGACTGACCTCAGGATGAAAAGGTAGAAAACTTAGTCCAAGTTAAATATAAGTTGCCTATACATATAAATATACTGAAGGAATGGAGAAAAAGGGAAGAACTAGAGCCATTTACATGGGTAGAAACAGAGGCACTAAGGTGTGTGGTCAGATATTAAGCAGGTAACTTAGAGCCATTTGAGGGCATATATATATGACTGTGTGAGATAATTCCAAGGTAAGCGATAAATTCATATATAGGGCTTGCAGATGCCTTTTTGTGGAAATGCAGAATTAGGCTGCAATGCTAGGATGGAATGAATGGCTAAATGGGTCMGGAAATGCAGCTTCATGCATCTACAAGAGGTGTGATGGAATGAACTTTTTGTTTCATACAAAGTTTCAAATTTCTATGGTTCGTTTGTTGTAGTAGCATCCCATTGCTATTGCTTTGCACATAAAAAAACAACTTGCATTTTGTGTTTTCTAGCCATTCCTCAAGTCCCTCGGAGTCCCTCCCTTTGTGCCAAATTGTGACAGGGCAGGTGTGCCGGGAAAGACTCCTGGTCAGGGGAAGCTTTTCTGGGCGAGATCTCATTTTTCGCACTGTTTGAGCCTGAGTGCAGCATAACAGGGGRGTACTTTAGAGAAAAGTTTTCTTCSAGAGATTCTGCTTGTAAAATCTCTYTTGTGCTGCATCTTGCCAGCCTGCAAGCAGGGATAGGGCTGGCATTTCAGGAAGGTTGTACACACAGGTGGACGTTTTCTGGGTGAGATCTCACTTTTCACACCATTTGAGCCCGAGTGCAGGCTAACGGGCACATAACACATAGAGAAAGCTCTTCTCCGAGAGATTTCCCTGCAAACACTCTTTTTTTTTGCTGCATCTTGCCAGCCTGCAAGCAGCAACTTCTGGAGTTATTCTARAGAGGAACAAGCTTGTTAGATTTAGTTTAGATTTGTAGATTTGTTTAGAACATCCACCATCAGACCATGCCACAAGAATAAGGAGCACATTCTCATTTTATTGGAAATAAAGAAGCCAGGCAGACTCCAGTGAACAGAGTCATCTTTGGCTCTCAGCRTGCTCTGTGTAAAGATTGACTTTGAGAGGGTCAGTATCAACCACCATAAACCAACAATCTCTTCTAGTTATGAGTATATTTGAAAATTTGGCCTTAAACAGTTTGACTCACACACTGACTCAGTGATGCCTTCTGTTACTCTGCCAAAAATGTAGTAGGCTATTGATCTGAGAACTTCAGAGGGCCTTTGGGATACAGCATCTATGAGGAAACAGAAGGCACTGGAAATTATTATAGTAAAGATGTTTCCAACAACTGTAACAATAAACTGCACCTCCACCAGGAAAGATTTGAGATGAAAGGCTATCTTTTTTTTTTCAGGTAGGCAATTACAGTTGGTATATTTAAAGGTGGTAAGTTCTATTAAATTTTGATAAGCTGACTGCCCTATAATTCTAATTTCTTGTTACCTTTTTTTTTATGCTTATTATGTGTCTAATACATTCTGTATCAATTGTGTACTATAATAGGGCATGTCCCCATGGGAAGACAAAAAAGTCCTGGATAATTACAACTTTTCAGAAAMCTTGAAACCACATCACAGTTTACATAAATGATACTTCACGGAAGCAAAGCAAAGAAAATGGGCAGAACTGAAACCAAAATACACAGAGTAAACTAACAAAACTTTAACAGAACATTTATTATATGGTTTTCTGGCTCCATCTGGTGTTTTATTTAGACAATTTCTAGCTCAAGATAATCTGATTTCCACTTCCCTTTCCAGCTAGTCATTGGAAATGAAGAGCGGTATTAAAAGGACTGGCAAATTTATGTATTCTGTGGACTTACATTCAGTAAGTGTAACATACTAGTTACTGTGAAAATAACACTTTTTAAATTTAGTTCTTAAATCCTGTGACTTAAGTAATTTTCCACTATGAGGAAGAGCTTCTAGGGCAAACTTGTCATTTCGCCTTAGGAYACCAGTTAGAATGTCAAAATACTACTCCTACCTTACTAAACTGGCTTATACACTCATGATGGCTAAATCAATACTGCTTTATTCAAATAAGCTCTCAAATATTTGCAACACAATTATCACAMGTTTTCACATCAAATATTTTATTGGTGCTCCTTTCAGACCAGATAATAACATATTTACTGCCTGTACAGAAAAAACACCCACTTCACTGGGTTTGTAATAGATTCTAGGAGGACTTGATCCATCCCTGTCCCAGGGATTGAAGCAAGATTTATGTGTCTGGAGTTTCCTGGGTCTTCTTTTGGGCCCTTCTTCCAGATGTATTTGACATCTGCCCTCTTCCAGTCATTAAAGATATCTTCTGATATCCATAAATTTTCAAATATTATAGAGAGTGGCCCTGMAGCAAAGTCAGCCACTTCTCTCATACCAGGGCAGATTTTGTCCGGGCCTAAGGATTTATGTGGGTATCAGAATATAAACTCATTTGTCAGCATTTCTACAATATCATGACAGAACTTCCCTMTTTTTTTATGGGTCTAACATAAAAAACTGCCTTGTCCTGGTATGTTTATAGCCCAGCAAACATTGTAAAAACAGGCTAAAATAAATGTTATCCTTCAAAAAGAGGATTCTCGCTTTTCTGTAGAGTGGAGTACATATATACTGCACATGCACTATAAAAACATTTTTAAATCAACATGAATGAGTCTTCAAATATGATTTAGTAATTGAGAATAATGTTGAGTAGCCAGTACTTCCAGACAAACAAGCTTTCTACATACCTCAGGAGCTTGACTGTACTTGCAGAGCACCAGAGGGCAGTGGATAACGTTGAGGAAGTCTTCCCTAACTAGCAAAAAAAGATCAGGGTTGTTTTGGGTTTGTTTTGTTTTTTATTTTGGTTTGGCTTCTCCCTCCCCCGGCCCCATCTATAAAAGCATAATAGTTGCATTTATAACTACCAAACTGAGCTCTTCCTTCCAACTGTATGCCAGCCACAATACYCACCCTCTGCAGTCTCTAACTCAAAATGATTCAGCATTGGCTGATGCAAATGGAATAGTTGTACTTTAAAGGRAAATTGCTTTTTGGCTGTCTGTTAAATGTCACAGAGGGGAAATTCATGGCAATTCATGGAAATTCATGGTAGGAAAATAACTCTCCACAGTAATGTTGAGCCAAGACTATTTAACACATGTTGTATTCATTATAGGCTAAGCACAACAACATTTTTAATGGACCTTATCTCCCTGAGATGATACTGTGGAGGCATTATAATTACTAAAATCATTGTTTGCTCCTTCTGGTTTCTGACTTGATCAAACTGGAGTCTCTAATATTATCTCAGTGCTCTGATCCTGCACACATGGAGAAGGTCTCAGCATTAGGAAAATAGTTTCTAGCAGCTCATTTGCTCTTGTTTCCAGAACCAAGCCCATTTGTGAGAGCCCTGGAAGAGTCAAGTCATCCCAGAGGATGAGGAAGCCCAGCTCTGGCTCTTGTGCCACAKCCATTCAAAACTCTGTGTCCTTTCCAAGGTGTCAGCTCTGGCCCAGGAGCTTTGGGACAGCCCCGAAATTCGGCAGAAATTGGTCTCCAGTCTGGATCCTTACCAGGGTATCATCAGACGGAAAAACAAGATGTTACTTAGTATCTTTCTGTGCTTCCTTTCCTGCAGTTGGTAGGAGGTACCTCTTGAGCAAAATACCTTCTCCAGGAAGGCAGAAGCTACATATCTTCTATTAGATAAAGCATTTGAGTTTTCTGGACTTAGACATAATGTGACTTAACTTGCTTTCAGGATAGAGTTGCCTAACAGCTCAAAAGTAGACAAATCCTTTGTTTTGGTTTAGTGGGTGTTGGGCAGGTTTTTTTTTTTTTGTTTTTTGTTTGTTTTGTTTTTT